TGGCCGATAAGATGGCACAGGTGCCGTCAGCCAGACAATGTCGGCTGGCGGCTCCCCGGGGGAGGGCCTTCTCTGTAGCCACTCTGACCCTATGGAATGAACTGCCCCCAGAGATCCAGACCCTACCCACTCTCATGGCCTTCCGAAAGGCTATCAAAACCTGGCTTTTCTGGCAGGCCTGGGGCTGTTGACCTCATGACTGAGGTCCAGCCCCGACCAGAGTGGATGTATGATGTGGTTTTTAAACTGTTTCCTCTGTTTTTAATTTTTAATTTTTTGAAGTTTGTTTCTGTAAGCCATCCGGAGTCCTTCGGGATTGGGCGGCCTATAAATTTATTAAATTCAATTCAATCTAAGTAACATTTTTCCACCCAACATTTTACAATAGGTATAATTCCAATAGCACAAATTAGTAGAAAATATAAATAAAGAAGCAAATGAGATACAATAATTAATAAAATTAAAAACAAAACAGAAATACCTAAAATTGGATAAGATATAACCAAATAAGTGAAAAGTGAGATAAGTATGTACTAAGTTTCAGAGCCTGAAGCTTGAAGGTGACTTAGTATTCCAGAGGTCACTGTCCTCTTTCAATGAGAGGCAGTACAGTGGGATTAGACTAGGGGAGACTCAGGTGAATTTTTTTTCCAGTCAATGTTGACTCCAGGTCCACAGTCAATCTTGTGGGGTTCCCTGGTTTTCAGAAAAGCTCTGGGAGGCAAAATGACAGATGAGATGTGTAATCCACTGTTGGGAAATCCAATCAAACATGTAAAAAGTATATATTAAGGATTACGTTGTGGTAATAAGTGAAAGAATGGAACAAAATAAACACTAACAAGAGTCAATTTAAGGAATTTTCTGATAGATAAAATTATTCAAATTAGCTTGAGTTGGACTTCAAAAGGTGAGGGGCAGTTGAGCTAGATACATATATAAAACTCTAATCCCATTATTAAGAAAGCTCCCATTTAAAAAAGAGGGGCCTAGTTTAGTCAACACTCACTTTTGGGTAGTCAATAAAATTCTATTTAGGAAAGCCTTTGAGCAGGGGTATCAAACTTGCGTTGTCACAGACATATTGGGATGTTTTTCCCCTTCACTAAATCAGGCGGGGTATGATGCAACCCATGGGCCAGGAGTTTGACAGCCCTGCTTTGGAATCATGTTGCTAGATAATGGTTATGGGTGGTTGCACAGGGAGAAAAGAGTAAATGGTTGCACAGGGAGAAAAGAGTAAATGATACCGTCTTAGCTTTATCACTCAAATGATGTGGATAATGTGATTTGCATCATTTGTGCAATAATACAAAGGTATGATGGGTGTATACCAGTGGTGGGATTCAAAATTTTTTAGTACCATTCTGTGGGCGTGGCTTGGTGGGTGTGGCAGGGGAAGGATACTATAAAATCTCCATTCCCTCTTGACTCCAGGGGAAGATTACTGCCAGAACTGGTCAGAAACTGTGGAATACCACCTCTGGTGTATACAACTTCATCAACTTCTATCAGACACCAATGATAGTGGTTGTATTCACACTTTCTGTATGCTATGTTATTCAATAGGTTAGACTGTGCTGTCAGGGTTTATTTAATTAGGATTTGTAGAATTGACTAGAATACCTTATTTCCTATGATATAAAACGTCAGGAACCATAATGTGCAACTCCATTATAGGTGAATGCTTTCCAGCAAGAACATATGTCTTACCTACCTATAGCAAGGAATCCTAACCCTAAATCTATGGCTTTTAGATAATGCTAAAAAGCTTTTAGCTCTAGCTACAGCTATGTCAAGAGCACAAGTAACTGAAACTATGGGAACAAAAAACAGTCAGTAATTACAGTCCAGCTTCCAAGGCTTTTGCCATCAATTACTTGGAGATGTACAAACACTGTCAATATTTTAAAGACTGTTTTGCACTCTCTCCCTCTCCCTTTCTCTCTTTTTCCCTCCCCTTCTTTTACTGGCAAGAATGTAAGATCTGAAGAAAAATATGCATGACATTCCAGCAGTTTCTGTGGCATGTGATTCAGGAATTAAGCAATGATTAGTTTATGCATAGTAGCATTTTAAATGTGGTATTAATGCAGATTTAAGATCACTGTTAAAATCAAGTAATTTTACATGACACTGGACTCTGC